TCGGCACGAAGGCACAAGACCGACGAAAGCTAGTCTTCACGCAACCAGCGACAGACTAGTCCCAATGACCAAGTTATACATTAGCAATCGGAGGGAGATACAACGCTATGGTCACTCACCTAGTCCCAATGACCAAGAGGTCGAGATGGGGACTAGGGGGCGCCTAAGGGGGTCCTTATATACTCAAGGGGCTGCTTAGCAACCAAAGACAAAGCGCGAGAGCGAGGCAGTGAAGATGACAAAGGAAGAACAAAGGGCGAGAGAGAAAAGGCAAGAGCATGGTGATCACGGGAACGGAGCATGTGGCAGTGGGAACGTATCTACAGTGTCCAAACTGGGATGGGCTAAGAAAGGAAATGGTCCGAAAATGGAAGGTGGGCGTCACGGGGAGGGGAATGAGCAGCAAAAAGGGGCGTCTGTCCAGCGTCCGTGACACTGTCCTAGAAACGGGACCCTGGGTAGCAGTGGCCTTCTTGGCTTGGGACTTGAACGTCTTGTACCAGTGAGGTCTGCCTGGCATAGTAAGAAGTTTTGAGTGATAGTAAGAGGTTGGAGCGCGTGGTGAGCGATCATTGAGATAGTGTAGGGAGCGAGGGATTGGAGTCGACAATCGGGAGTTTTTGAAGTGAACAGTCGAGGGCAGGACTCATAGGCTGGAGCACAGTTGAAGCCGCTTCGAACTCAAAGACTTGTCATTCATGACAGAGCTGAATAATATTTTGGAGTGAGCTCTTGTTAAGTAAGCTCCGAGTGGGATGAGAATCATGTGAGAATCATGAAGTGCCCAAGAGGGACGATGTGATGCCCTGGATCGGCACACATCGCGGTCAGGTGACCGTTGAGCAACAGGAGGCACTGCCACTTACGTGTTTCGCTGTGTCATTGACCCATGTCTCCTGCGTCTAACAACCACTTTGGCTATCTCCTCTCCTATTTTGCCTCTGATCTCTCCATGTCCGGTCTTCTCGGGCTTTTCATTCACACACCGGAAGCTATGACTGCCACAACCTCATTCCAGCTGGTGGTGCCGCCCTGGGCTACTCGGCGCGCTTCGGAGATCGGGGTCAGGGAGGATCACTATTGACGTTTTCCCTACCTGTGCACGTCAAAGACCCATCGCAGCCAGGATCCTTCGAGCCCAAAACTTGATGCGCAATTACTCAAGTACAGGCAGGAAAGCGGAAGGAGAACAGTACCAACGCACTCAGCAAGATACTTTGCAAACAGCCGCATCGTGATTGTAAGTGCCGTTTACTATTTCTTGTGCTGACTCATAAGATGTTGAGAATCCTGCAGTACATCCTTCCTACTCCCCTCACAATGCCCTTGAAAGGTACCTCTACTCCGCGTCCGTTACGCAAGCTGTATGCCTGCATTGCAAGTGGATGCAAGTTCGAATCTGACAACAAGATCAGCTTTGGGCGACATCGTAACGCATGTCCTCATGCCCTCACCTCAATCACGGAGGCAGTTCTCGGAAAGCGCAAGATCAGTGGCCAGTATACAGGTCTTGTTAAGAGGGCACACCTGGAAGCCCGCACCCGAGTGAGCCTCTACTTTCCCCCTGAGATTGAAGGATGCTTGAAGGACTCACCAGCACATATAGATACTGCCCGAGCCATCTCCCCTTCCTCCCGCACCACAAAGTCCCCCTGCACTCTCTACTCGGTCAGGCCGACGTGTCCGCATTCCGAAGACCTGGAATGACTTCGTTCCCTCATCGCGCAGCGGACTCCCATCTCAGTATGCGGGCCATCTGGCCGAGTGCGCGCCCTCACCTCCCTTAACTGACACCCCACAACTGCGTGACACCTCTCTCCCCATTCTCCCTTCAGGGCCTGTCTGGAATACGGAGCCTGACAGCTTCGGCATATATCGCAAATACGCCCACCGTCCGCAGCGCGATCCGGAGGTGTCCATCACACTCGAAAGTGTCTGCGACGCACCTGGCCTCAACAAACCTGCGGCACAGGACGCTCCAAAATATGCGAGCATTGCATGGGTTGATCGCTCAGCCCCCCAGTCGTCAACTTCTACCGACAACCAGATGGATTATGGCCCGTTTGCGAATGCATCCCAGTTCCGGGTTGTCGACCATTTCTACGGGCGTTCAGACACCCACTCTCTAGATGCCCTCGATGATCTCATCTCGGTCATACAGTCCCCCGGATTCTCAGCTGCAGATCTTGTGGACTTTTCTGCGAACAGGGCTGAACACGCCCTAGATGTATGGACGAGCGACTCAAGGCCGTTTTCCGCTCAGGACGGCTGGCATCAGACATCTGTGGCGATCCCGCTCCCGCGCACCTATGCCAAGTACAAGTCAGAGGCGGGAGCTCCGAAGTTCACTGTCCCTGGAGTCGTTCATCGCCATCTTCTTGCTCTCGTCAAACTTGCAGTCCAAGATCAGAACTCGTACCTCAAAGATGTTCATCATTGGCACGCGCACCGGAAGTTTTGGATCCCGCCATCATCGCTCCCGTCATCACTTCCGTCACCCGGACCTGGACCCAGCTCATCAACATACAACTCTACTGCCTCGCAAACGACTAACCCTTCCCCAATTCGCGTCTATACCGACTGCTACAATTCGAACACTATGCTGGACATGGAGGCAGAAATCCGCCAGAGACCGCGCGTGCCTGGAGATGCTCTCGACATGGAGTACGTTGTCCTCCAGCTACTCCTATGGTCCGATGCCACGCAACTCTCCAGCTTTGGTTCTGCCGCTCTGTGGCCCATTTATCTGTACTTCGGAAACCTTTCAAAGTACTTCCGTGGTCGCCCAACCGAGTTCATGGCACATCATCTGGCTTATATCCCTGGGGTAAGTCTTCCTCTCCTTCACGATGTAGCGCACGGCTCGAACTAGAGCCCATCAAGTTGGCTCCTGCTGCTGTATGAATATCTTTATACTGACTTCGGCTCTAGCTCCCAGATGTCCTAAAATACTTCTACATGGCCACCTACGGCAAGTCACCCAGTGCCGACGAGCTCAAGTTCTGCAAGCGGGAGCTTTTCCAGCAAATCTGGCTCCTCCTCCTAGATGAAGACTTCATGCAAGCGTTTGAACACGGTATCGTGCTGACATGTGGCGATGGGGTACTGCGGCGACTTTTTCCGCGGTTCTTCACGTACTCAGCAGATTATCCTGAGAAGTAAGTAGAAAGCCCGTGTTGTCATGCACATATACTGACAAGCCTTCAGAGTGCTTATTGCGGCACTACGGCCGCTCGCGCGATGTCTTTGCCCTCGCTGCCTCACCCCGAAGGACAAAGTTTCCGAGGCTGGCACCAAATCCGATGACCGCCGCTGCACACATACACGCCAAGACACCACATCACTTCGAGAAGACATTCATTGGGCACGGAAGAATCTTTTCAAGGGTTATTCTATTGCAGGGAAACGTGTCAAATCATGGCTGGATGCGGAGTCTTTGACGCCCATTCAGGTACGTGCTCTTGATCAAGTCTAATCATACCAGACTGAGTGTTCGGTAATTGACAGAGCGCATTCTCGGTACGATTTGCGGGCCATGGCGTAAACTTCTATGATATGCTTGCTCCTGACTTGATGCACGAGTTTGAGCTCGGCGTCTGGAAAGGAATCTTTACTCACCTAATGCGAATGCTTGCGGAGAAGGGTGGCGGCGCTGTTGAAGAATTCAATAGTCGGTAAGACATGTTCAGTCAGGCATCCAGCTGTGTCTAATATTGATATAGAATGCGACGTATGCCGACATTTGGGCGTGACCGCATTCGGCGATTCTCGCATGACGTTGCCTCCCGCAAGCGTCTTGCAGCCCGTGATTATGAAGCCTTCTTGATTGTTAGTAATCTCCTGTCATTTAATTTGCTTGTCTGATGCTTGTGCTTAGACAATGATGCCTGCTTTGGAAGGTCTCCTTGACCTCCCAGATGACCAGACAGTTGCGGACCTTCTATTTGAACTCGCCAATTGGCATGCTCTAGCCAAACTCCGACTACACACCACTATCACAATCAATATCTTCCGCGCAGCAACAAAGCACATGTATGATGTGATTCGGACATTCGCTAACAAGATATGCCTCCGGTACCAGACAAAGGAGCTCTCATCAGAAGCCACAGCACGAGTGCGACGGGCGAAAGCCACGAACGTACACACCCTAACTTCCAGCACCCGCAGGCCTATCGCATTTACGGTCCATCACACCTACAAGTTTCATAGCTTAGGCGACTACCCCAACCACATTGAACGGTCTGGATCAGCGGACAACTACAATACACAAGTTGTGAGTACCATTACTGTTGTCTCGCTGGCTAGCAACTGTATGGGGCTTCATGGACAGCGCTGCATCTGTGGCCATGCCACAGCTAACGTCCACCTGGACGAGTGCTCATGAGGGGATCAGGGAAGGACAGACGGAAGTTGTGAGAGTGTACAACGGACGTCTGGACTGAGACATTGAGCGAGTTCAAACGAGACACATCGAGTTCGTTCAGGACTGCTGAGACAATCTTCACGGTCTCGCGCACCAGGAGGCGTGTCATCAGAACATATTCATGGTGTCATTGACGATAGCTGATACACATATAACAGGGTGAGCTTGAACATCGGCATGTGAAGCGGTTCTATGCTCGAACAAACAGGGTTGCTTACAAGCTGCAAATTGCCCGAAAAGAGCGGAATCGGTCCCTTCTGGCCTCAATCCGGGCAAAGGACTCATTTCGGCCCCTCTCTGCACTCAAGGAGGACCGAAAACGTGCCAAGATCGCATCTGCTGAGGCGAACGCACGTTCCGTTCACTCGCACTCTAGAACACGTCCTGACGCACCTGTCTCATCTCCCCATCTGAACATCACGACATCGAGAGGTCTCAACGGGATGGCTTTCATCTATGGACTTGGTTGGAGGATCACGAGGCTGACGTTGCAACCAAGGTAAGACAATATCTTGAGTACCATTTATTACAGCTTACATGTCCACCTGCAGAACTTCATCACACTTCTCCGCGACCATTTGGTCATGCGATTTATTGGGCCAGACGCAGAGCCGGAGGATGGGTTTACCGAGAAACATACTAACGGGATACAGATATGCAATGACCGCTTATACCGCCACAAGACAATCCGCATCAACCATACAACGTACGACATGCGTCGCGAGCAAGACAACATCAATCCGCGCACTCACGCAGATATCATGCTTCTTTCATCCGACTCCGATGTCCACCCCTTTTGGTACGCACGTGTCCTCGACATTTACCATGCCAATGTACGCTACACTGGACCAGGATCTACACACGCAATGCAGGAATGGCAGCGCATCGACTTTGTTTGGGTGCGCTGGTTTGAGCACGACCTTTCGTACCAGGCCGGTTTTCAGCACCGCCGTCTCCCCCGTTTGCAGTTCATGGATGCAGACGATCCTAACAACATACCATTTAGCTTTGTAAATCCTGACGACATTATACAGGCCGCATACCTTATTCCCGCATTCGAACATGGTGGAACAACACATCTCCTTGGGACCTCAAAACTGGCGCGCCGACTCAAGGACGATGGTGATGACTGTGATTACTGGTGCTACTTCTATGTCTTCATGTAGGTATATGCTAAAACATGTTCGATTCGGACTGACACGCTCTGCTTGCAGGTGGGCCAACCGTGACATCTACATGCGTCACCTTGGTGGTGGCATCGGGCATCGGGGCACAGGCGTGAGTGTTGAAGACTCGCAAAGACATGCCGTTCGCCTCTCTCGACGTGGGCGCGCTCACAAGCAGCAAACCGGCGCGCGAACCGGAAACGAAGCCCGGCCTCTCGCTCAAGAAAGTAGTGATGAGTCGGATGTCGTCTCGTATGCGAGCGCCTCCGATCCTGAGCCGGACGAGGATACAACTGCCGATTTCAATGACAACTCTCACTCCGCAGTAGACGTGGATATGGGCTCAGATGATAGGGAGGGCACAAGGTACGAGTATAGTAGTTTCGTCAAAGAAGGCGACAATGCTTCAAGTGCAGAGTCTGCCGGCCATGACAGTGAGTGGGAGTGGGAGGCAGCAGAGGACACGGATGCAGAGGCAGACGATGGTGATGGGGACGAGGGTAATGGCAGCGAGAGTGATTCTAGTGTCTCAGATTCAGACGAGGAGTTTGATAATGGCCCGGTAGACACCATATATGCTGCCGAGGGCTTTGCCCCTCTCTAGAACCTGCACATGCTATCTTGAATCTCTTTCAATAGATGATATGAATCAGCAGGGCAACAATGATGTCTATCTACTATTGTCAGGAGTGGGAACAATCAACTTAGAACAATGCGCCAGGTTCGATCACGGTAAGCGCCGACTTACCATATACAGACAGCCAGTAGACAGATTTCTGTGCAGCCTCCTGAGGCAAGGGAAGTTTGGGGAAGGGTTTGGAAGCTATAAAGAGAAAAAGAGAGCTGTGTTGTATAGTAACATGAAGGAACCTAGATTGGCACCCTCCTTGTGAGGCCCATACATTGACTTGCAACGTACACTACATGGGCGTCTCGATTTCGATGCGCCATACGACAAGTAGATAAGGCGGAGGTTCAAAAAGACATCCATAACAGGCAGGGAAGGCGCTTAGATGGGCAACCCATTGCGCCCACTCATTGTCGGGATTCATCTGGGCTGCTGCTCACCTGCCAGATTCCGTCAGGCGAGATGCGAGTTGGCCGGACTCAGGGGGCGCTCACGGTTTCCGGTAAGGGTAGGCCGGCTTCGAGCGCCGTGGCCGTGGCTGACCATGGTTTGCTTGATTTGCTGATGCCAACGCGCCTGTGTTCTCAATTGCCGCCCGCTCTTCCACACCAGGACTGCGAAGAGGAAGGGTTCTCATGACAACGCAGTGAGGGTTGTGACTGGAGAAATGCTGAGGCCAGGTTCTCAGATTGAATTGTAGGACGTTGAGGGTGTATCTGTCGAATGCCTCGATCCCCTGCCCGCCAGCCGGCCTTGGCGAACGGGCTGTCCTACTATGTAGCAACAAAAGCTTGTAAAGACAGCAATCGGGGAAACAGTGAGCGCTTCTGTCATTCGACTCCGCCTGAGCCTCCCGACGATCAAGAGGGGGCCCGAGTGCACATGTTCTCTTGATTCTACCAGAATCGCGGCTCGGGATTCTCCTTCCCAACTATGTCTGTTATCGTTCCCTCGAACGAGTACATGGCACATTGAGGACGGATGCTAGCCGGGCCCATGCGCACAGTCATCTTCCCGCCTCTAGTTTGCTGAACACACATAAATTCCGGATAAAACTGAAGCAGAATCGCGAAATAGGATGTCTTCGCCAGGATCGCCCACAGGGCCCTACCTATGCACTCTCTCTACCGGAGCAAGGTACGCAAGCCGGTCGCATACACATACAAGTACAAATACAGACATTTCGACAATCTGGCTGCAAGCTCAGTGCGGACGAGGCCCGTCATGTTTGGTGTTTGCGTGCTTGACTGAGAGTCTAATTCTGGTGTCGTTAACTGCGAATGAAGCAAAATATATAACACAGAGTTACATAGATGCTGAGCCGGCCATGTAAATAGAACTACGTGGAACCGATACCGGTCTGTGTGCAAACCGTTCATGAGCTCTATATTCCATCTTTCAGACGATATCCAGTGAGGGTCATCGATTCACTTCCATAGACTCGTGCCGCGTAGTCACTACTCACTCATGATCCTCAGGCAGCTTCTATCCCTTTTGTTGACAGGGCGGAATCCGTCGCAGTCTGCCCCAACACGATCGTCTCCTCGATCTGCTGCTTCGTCATCTTCTCCAACAGCCCTTCCAACCGGGCATAGTCCTCCTCCAGATGTTCCAGCTGCGCTCTCAGCAGCACGTTCTCCGCGCGGAGCTCCGGTTCGAGCGCCGCCCGTCGCCTGATCTCGTCGTCCATCCGTCCATCTCGCTCCGTCAGCACATGGATCTGCTTCTTCCAGCGTTCGACTTCCCGCTCAAGCAGACGGATGCGCTCCTCGTACGTCGCTTTGATCATGGCGACACCGTCGTGGGTTTGCGTCTCTGCGAGCGCCGCACGCTCAGCGAGCTCGTTGTTCTCCTTGGTGACCTCTGACGCGTGCGAGGACGCTTTGGAGTAGAGGTCGCGGAAGAGGTCGCGATCTTTCTCGGCTTCTGCCCTGCGTCTCTGTAGCTCTTCGTTCGTCGCGCGGAGCTGCGCAAGGGTCTGCTCCCACTGTTCTGGGGTGGTAGGAGGTCGGGCGGATACCGCCGCCGCCCCAGACGTCGGTACTGATGACATCACAGGAGCAATACACTATCGCAACTCTTCATTCACAAGTATCTTCAAATAATTGCAAACATTTCTCACCTGGATGGTTCGGGTTCTTATGAGATGACGTTATTCAAAAGTGTAGGCTGCGACGGCGAAGGACAAGTAGGATGTAACTGTGTCCGGAGCCTTTAACGAAACAAAATGCACCTACGGTTCCATGGACAGTGACATCGCCAAGTATCAGCATATTTCGCGTCTATATCTTGTCTTAACAGGACTTACTGAGCGGACGTGTCCCGAATGACACTGCGAGGGAGAAGCACGTATGGAGGCGCCCGTGATGGTGTTTGCGCGGACGTTGAATACAGCCGTCAGGCGTCTACTATAATGCTTCTTTGCGTCTTTGATCCTTGCGATGTCGCAAGGAGGCCTCAACAGCAATGTCCCTTCATCCACCACGCTTCTGGTGGCCGTGGTCCGCCCGGGCCGCCGCCGGAATACATGCAGGAAGTAGCTCCAGGTGACCAGGAACCCGATCGTGCATAGGACACTCCGGAATGTATGTACAGTCGACACCCTCTTAACCCATAGCCCTCGGGACAGGCCCAAATATATGGGTTTTGAGGGGTTATGGGCTACCGGAACTTTAGCGCCTTCTAAGCGCCCTGATAAGTCCCAGTTAGCGAGCGCTGAACAGGCGTCTACTGACCCTTCGAGGGAGCGCTATGGGATTTCGAACACACTAAGCTACCCACAATGTGGTTGAAGCATGGATGGATGCTGGGAGGACACAAGGAAGCATGTATCAAGTACTTTGTGGGTTATTGATGAGCGAAATCTCAATGTGACCACTATTACCGTATGGGTTTTGAGCCCTAGAAGGCTATGGGTTATGGGGTACTGGGGACCTATGGGTTATGGGGTCGAATTCCCCCTATCCCGACTTGGGAAAGCCAAAATCCTATGGGTTTTTAGAGTTTATGGGTTACCAGGGGTATGGGTTAGGAGGGTGTCGACTGTAGAGTATACGCGAGCCTGAGCGCGCGGCGCGGATGACAATTCGGTGCGAGAGGCATGCAGAGAACCACACGCCTTCAGTGCGCCAGAAGTCTCAGAGAGACATGTATGCGCGTTGTAGCCCAAAATTCGGCTGCGAAAATGCGTATGATTTCTTGGCGTCGCATCCATCAATTGTATGGTCGTTACTTTGGCGCCCTCGCTGGTTCACTGTATGTCTACTAATGCAAGGGCGAGTATTTGTAGAGTATGCCTGCTTCGACTCTTTTACGTGGTCGACATCCTGACTACTTACCCCACATAGCACCGATTAAATAGGCTGAAGAGTTCGGGTACCCGCCGAACTTCCCCATCAAATCAGCTGATTACCCCTGTCCACGACTCATTACGCCTCCTTGCACTTCTCCATCAATTCGCACTACATAAAGTCACGGAAGTCAAATGACTTCCGAGCTCGACAAGCCGGCCTCCGCAGTCTGAGCCCGCCAGGGACACACAGCCGCCTCCCGCCCGAATGTCCGGGCCTGACCTCTTCTGCCCTGGCACGCGCCTCCCCGACAATCTACCGCTGCGACGCCTTTCGCCAAGCAGGATCATAATTTGTTATGCCTTCGATCTCCAGAGGCGTTGCTGAATAAATACTGTGCTCTCGACGCGTCAACCCGACTTCCCTTGCAGTCGAGTTCTACCGTCCCGTACTCTTCGGTCTCCAAGTATGGCTCGTCTTCTGCATTGGAGCCACGCGTACAAGCTCGGGCTGGTGCTACTCGCCGCTGCTGGTGGCGTCCTCGCAATTGGCCAAGACGCGTGTGTCGCGTTCGAGTCCAAATCCTCGACGTTCCCGATCGTCAGCAAGCACGAGGCGGCCCCAATCCTTCTCTCAGCGGACGAATGGGGCGGCGTGCAACGCGCTGCTGCTGATTTTGCGTCAGATATTCACGAAGTGACGGGCGTGAAGCCGACGTTGAAGAACGTCACTGCAACGGTGTCATCCTTCGCGTCTGCGGGCTCGAAGGCTGTCATTGTCGGGACGCTGGGCAAGTCGACCCTCATCGACACCGTCGTCAGCAACACGAAGCTGGACGTGTCGAGCATCCAGGAGAAGTGGGAGGCGTTCTTGACCAGGGAGGTCACGAACCCTCTTCCGGGCATCAGCAGCGCGTACGTGATCGTCGGTGCTGACAAGCGCGGGACGATCTACGGTTTGTATGAGCACTCAGAACAATTTGGTACGTATTCTGCATGTTATGCGAGGAGACATTATTGACTAATCAACCATATCAGGTGTCTCACCGTGGAAGTGGTATGGACCATTTTCTTTTCGCTCTCCTTGCATGCTTCATCTGAAGGCTCTCTTAGGTGGGCAGATGTCCCAACCACGAAGCACAGCGAGCTTTATGTGCCATCCTCGGGCTGCTCTCATGGCACGCCGACCGTGACGTATCGCGGGATCTTCCTCAACGACGAGCAACCCGCGCTGCAGAACTGGGCCATGGAGAAGTTTACGAATGGTACTGGAGCTGCCCTTACTGGCTCTCCGTTCAACCACTACTTCTACACAAACCTGTGGGTCCTGTCTGTCGCCATCTTGTCCTTCCACTAACGCTCAATCATAAACCCCAGGTTCGAGCTGATTCTACGCCTCAAGGCGAACTCACTCTGGCCTGGTATGTCACGGAGTTACCGTCCCTGATACAATGAATGCTGACCACTCGGGAACTGCACAGCGCAATGGTCTAGGTAATACCACGTTCCTACGTTGGCGCTTTGATCTGACGCCGCGTTCCCAGTGCTTTCGGCGTCGACGACACGCAGAACCAACCACTCGCGGACTGGTACGGCATCGTGATGGGCACCAGCCACGAGGAGCCGTTCATGCGATCCGTTCCGGTTGAATGGGGCCTTTTTGGCAACGGTTCCTGGGACTACGCGGGTAACACGCAGAACGTCTACAACTTCTGGAAGGGAGGCATTGAGCGCGCGAAGAACTACGAAAACGTCATCACGATTGGCATGCGTGGCGCAGGCGACGGTGAGTATGGCATGCCAGTGCTGGATTTGGACCGTCTGTTGGGCGACTTTCTGATGCGTATTCACGGCAGTGCCCCTTTCCGAGGACCAGAATATTGAACTTATGGAGAAGATTGTCTCCGATCAACGCTCGCTCCTCGGGGACGTATTCAATACGACCGATGTCACCAAAATCCCCCAGGTCTGGACTCTCTGTGAGACGATCGTCTGGTGTCTCCGTGTTGTGAGCTAAACTGAGAATATGGGTGTGCCCCTCCAGACAAGGAAGTACAAGGTTACTACGACGATGGCATGCGTGTTCCGGACGATGTTATCCTCATGTGGACAGATGACAAGTAGGTCTTTCCTGCCTTGATTTACGCGACAAGAAGTATCTGACGGTCATCCCAGCTGGGGTAACGTTCGCCGCTATCCTCTTGTCGGCGAGCGCGGTCGTTCTGGAGGATCAGGTGTCTACTATCATGTAAGCTCTCCGCTGTTCGCGTTCTAGTGCAACTCTTAGAAGACCATCTCTTTCTTGCAGGTGGACTACGTAGGAGATCCTCGTGACTACAAGTGGATCACCGTAAGTGCGTCGGATCCTACTCATGTAGAAACTCACCCATTTTTTTCTGCTCTACAGTCCAGTCAGATCGAGAAGGTAGAGCGTATCCTCTCATGCTCTCTCACGCTGAACCTCACCTCCCCTTCGTAGACTTTTGACCAGCTGTCCACCGTAGTTGCGCGGAATGCTACCAGTCTCTGGATCCTCAATGTCGGCGATCTGAAACCGTACGAGCTGCACACTGAATTTTTCCTCACCTACGGCTACGACGCATCTAAGTGGACGCCGTCTAACCTCAACACTTTCGTCACCCGTTGGGCACAACGCGAGTTCGACCTATCCGCTTCCGATGCTGTTGCAGTTGCAAGTATCATCGGGACCGTTACGCGGCACAACGCGAGGAGGAAACCAGAGCTCTGGAACTCGACTACCTACAGCTTGACGAACTATCGCGAGTGCGTTCTTTCTTACTGGTGATCAAAGTGCCCAGATCGCGAGCTGATCCTTTGCACCTTCTGGCAGAGCAGAAAAAGTGCTCGCGTCCCTCAAAGCTGCGGCTGCCACATCCACGCGCATCTATAACTCGCTTTCGTCATCCACAAAGCCAGCTTTCTTCCAGCTCGTGCAACATCCCGCACAGGCAACGTACACTCTTGCCAACTTGTGGATCTCAGCCGGGATAAACAACCTGCGCGCGTCCCAGGCGCGGATCAGCGCCAACGACTACTCGGAGCAGGTTGAGGAGCTGTTCAACGAGGACTACGCTCTTGAGGTGAACTACCATATTATCCTAGATGGTTAGTTTTGAAAGGGATAGCTCCGCCCAACATACGGAACAACGCCGCTTACTTCGGGCTTTGCTAGGCAAGTGGGACCACATGATGGATCAGACGCACGTAATGTACTACTACTGGCAGCAGCCTATGGCGAATACGTATGTCGCATTTCTGACTTGGCCTTGACGATATGAACGCTGATTTTGTTTTGCCTAGGATGCCTCCGATCACAAAGGTGCAGGCCAAGAAGCAGGCTCTTGCTGGTGCGATGAGGATTGCGATCGAAGGCAGCTCCGGTGCTTGGTGAGCGTGATCGTGTCGACTGTCCTCAAACCCTTAACCTGACATCCCACTGACCAGGCCTGGAGACAATGTGAACAACTGCGCGTTGGGCTACAACTGCGGCAACCCTTCGCTAACGATCGATCCGTACCTTCCCGTTGGCAACCGCTACGTCGATGTCGGCGCCGGTGGCCCGAGTACGTTCACGTTCACCGCTAAGGCAAACGAGACGTGGGTCAAGCTCTCGTCTGCGGGAGGCACTATCTCGCCAAGCAATCCAGAGCAAAGGCTGTTCCTGAGCGTTGACTGGACCAGGGTGACGGGAGTGCAGTCCGCTGTAGTCACCATTACGGCAAAGGTCCCTAACCAGCCATCGTTATCCGTCCCGGTCACTCTCACCGCAAACCATACTCTCGTCCCGGAGGGGTTCCAGGGTAAGTCCGTTTGGCATGTGGTCACGATACGAACCCACGGTTATCCCAGGTTTTGTCGAGGGTGACGGTACGGTCACCATTGAGGCTGCCCATGCTGCTCGGAACACGTCCGTTCAAAGTATCGCTTGGACTGAGATCCCTGGTCTCGGACGCACCGAGTCGGGTATCACCCCCTGGCCTCGTGGCGGAAACGAGCTCAACTTCACCGCGGGCAGCGGCCCCAGCATGTGAGCCCTTGCGGTTGCTGTCTTTCACAGCTCATTCTGATTTGGGACCCGCTATGCAGCGAGTATGACTTCTACCTCTTCAACACCCTCAAGGGCCAAGGCAATGTCACGATCACAACGTACATCTCCCCGGCGCTGAACGGCCTCGGCGACGAGCGGCCGCTCGGGTTCGCGCTGCAAGTTGACGATGGCGACCCCAAGACCAATTATTTCGTTCCGGCAACTCCTGCTGGAAAATATGTTCCTACCCCATGGAACGGGCTTGATGGCTGGGTTGCAAACAGCATCATCACCGTGCAAGAAGCATTCGATGTGGAGCCTGGCAAGCATACTCTGAAGGTACACAGTTCCGGTCGACGTTAGCGTCCTTTGAATAACGGACTTACGGTCGTCAATTAGCTCTGGATGATCGAGCCAACTGTTGTGGTACAGAAGATCGTGATCGGTACGTGTTAGACAGATCCTGGGGTGATGGATGCTGATTGGTGTTGTGTACGCGAACAGACACAGGAGGTGTCAAGGCTAGCTACCTCGGCCCCCCGGAAAGTATTCGTGTCTAAGCACCCTGCATAGCGAGAATGGTAGCTGCTTGATATGAAATGCTTTGCACGAAGCGGATTGGGTTACTGCTACGAAGCGTGGGGTGCAAGGCTTGGACAATTGTAGGCTCGACGTCCGGAGTTGCGGACCATCAATCACTTGTAGACTAGAGGACAGCAGCCTATATTAGTGATACGTCATAGTGGAATTCATTCAGATATTTACAAATGCATTGCAGAACGGTGAATAAATAAGCAAAGGTGGGCGGCGTAGCCAGCATCTATACCAAGAAACTCTTTGCACCAAAAATCTCTACGCGTCAAGAAACCCTATGCGTCTATGATACAGTCGCAGGAGCCATGCTCAGACTAGATCCAATAGATATAGACATCAGGAAACGAGCTTGTGTCCCGCTTGCGCGGAGTTCCTTTCGAATGGAGGGCGGAACGCCGCCAATCAATACTTCAGTTCTTATATGAAAAGTATACCGCTCACCTTCGTTTCTCCGAGCGCGGCGGATCGACGTATCGGGCTCCTGCTCCGATTCCCGCCAGATGGATCTGTACCATCCTGGGCGGCCTGTAGCGGGGTCGATGCCCCCGGTGAGAGCCCTGCCGTCCGGCGACTGGTGGGGGAGCAGAAATCCCAATCGACGATACAACTCCTCTGCGGCCGCATCTGCTACGTTGAGCTTCACCTGCTCCTTCACGCCTTCCGGCGGAGGGCCAGGGGGCACTACGGCCATAGCCCCTGCTCCCAGTCCCACGTAGTACCGGGTGATGGTGTGGACCAAGGCTTCTGCGACGCCGCGCTGGCGGTGCTCTGGAGGTACGTAGACGGTACGGATAGTGATGGTACGAGGCGAGACGCTCCCGAGCTCGGCGAACGCAGACATGATGCCGTCGGTGCGGCACACCCAGAAGAGGCCTGTGGGTAGCTCCCGCTGGAGCCTCGTAAGGGCTTCCGTGGGGATAATCTGCGTCGGCCAGGATTTTGTTGAAAAGAAATTCATGTAGAGTGGCATGAGCGACTCGAGGTCGGACATGGATGCGCGGGAGATTATGTGTTGCGGAGACATCAACGTTCGCGGGGGCAAGGGCGTCAGAGTGTTCCGGGTCGCGTATGTCACAAAGACTGTGGTGGGGTTCGGCTTGAGACGAATGCGTCGGCCACGGCCACGTTGAATGGCGACCCAAGCGGTCAGGAAGGCATTCACCGGCTCCTCGACTCCAAATACCCTGAAGGGACTAACAATCGAGGGGTCGGCGAACTGAAGGGTCGATATAGAGTTCGCAAGGAGAGTGACAGCAAGGGTAAGGGTTTCTGGGGTCAAGACGTCCTCGGCGCGGCGATGGACTGACAGAATCCATGGGAAGCCTTCTTTGATACCATACACGAGAGTCATCCTATTCTCACGGACAATAAGCTGGGTAACATATCCGACATCATCCTGTGCACTCACAAGAGTGTCTCCCGGTAGATGGCAAGGTAGAAAACCCGAGTAGGGTCCGTAGGAGCATCGAGATAGTCAGAGATGCTGAGCGCCCCGGAGTTCTTCATCATGTAGTCATCGGCTTGCTTAGTGACTTCCAAGAATGTCCTGACATCGTCGAAGCGAACAAAGCGGAGGTCGGACATGTTGGTCGTGTTTGACGTTCCCGGTGAATAGCTGGGTGGTACTTAGCCGTGACCGTGGCTCGAATGTGTAGTGTTGGATACACAACTGCATGGCTGCAACCCCTAGTTTAAGTACGTACGTCCGCGTCAGTGCTACGCGGACGCTGAACCGGCAATGGCGCATTACACACCTCAGCTGGAGATGACCTGAACCCTATTGCCTCCTCATCAGAGGCGGACCGACCGCGATCCTGACACTAGATTCGTGCGTTTCCAACCTCTGTACCGAATGCTGTATGCTAGGAACAATCAGTGGTGAGCTCAAGTGGTGACATGGAAGCCCCTGTATCACCAGCCTGAAGACATCTCAACATCGTTATGAGAGATGCGATATATTGCCTGACGGTGTGACTGCGTGCAGACCCCGCTAACTTAATTCACCGACATAATCATCCAAATGGTTGAAGTAGACTTACTACATGACGAGAGAAACACAAATCGGGCAACCAAATGGCAGCAAGAGATGAGCCCATGATTCAGGACGCCTGAGTAAGTGAGTAGGGTCGGTCCGCTGCATGTGTTACAACGGCGCGGATATCTGGCCGTTCGCCCCACCAGCGGACGAGCGCGCCCACATTGTTAATGGTGGTTGAGGAGTGTGCACAGCGCTTCTGACAAGAAGGTTCCCGAGATGGAGTCCGTGCTCGCGTGGCAAGTGTGGGCGTCGACGTGCTGCGGGAAACGACTAAGAAGGCAAGCCACAATACATGGGCTCGTGCGCTCGGCCCGGCTTTATGGACGTTTTCGGGCTCCTACACACATGATGACGGAGGAAGATTAGACATAGTACAGCCAGTGCCGGCGCGCAACTGCACGCACCTGACATGGCGAGCTTCGAGCTCAGCGGAGGATGCCTTGGCCCGATGTACTGACCGAGACGAAGTACGTCCAGAACGAGGGCTCGGACCGACAGACGCAGCAGTACGAGTGACAGTACAGAGTTTGTGTGTAGGCGTAAGAGATGTGTGGGCACTGCTTTCAAAGGCAAAAAGTGGAGCAAGCCGGGAGCGTCGTTTGCCGAGATGGCTGTGATGCCGGTGTCGCCCCTTCGTTACCACACTCTTCGGACAGCGCGATCAACGTCAAGCCGACTTTGGCCTCGCTCGCGTGCGCTTTGCTGTGCCGAGTGTGGTGTGTCCATCGTGTGCTGAAAGCACCGCTCAAGCTCGGACCGAGCTTGTGTACTGTCGACGAGCGCCGATGTCATGAAAGGTTGTGGTCCGTGGCATTCAAGTTCTATGTGGTTTGATTGGAGACACGGGAAGTTCTTTGGTCTTGTTCCTGAAATGTAGCACCGATGACTTTGGGAAGTTTTAGGAGTGTGTCCGTACGCCAGTTGTAAGACGCACGTATTGACCTTTCACGTACATGACGATAGCAGATTAGATGACCTGGTTTAAACGGTATGGCTCTTCAATGCGAAGGTCTAGATACTCACTAATTGGAAAACCCCTGCCATGAATGCGTGGGAGGGGGTTCCCGCGCATTATATCGATATAAATCAAATGGAACGGCATTCGTCTGGACCATCGGAGAATCGGACAGTACAGATCTGTACGGCGCCCAGCATACTCCATCCTTGCGAACTTGCACACTTGCTCATATACACGACAAACAAGAAATCATGGCCGAGCGTGCCCCACTGTGAAGTTAGTCTTTGTTGACGCCGTCAGCAAACGCACCGTGGTTCCCCGATGACTTTGCGAGATGACAGTCGCAAGATTTCTACTGATCTCACGACGGAGCCATTACGCCTACTTTCGTACAATGCATACTCGTAAACTGAATGAGGCCGTAACGTAGTTGTTGACCTGTAAGTGAGTACCGCGTGTCAGGAAGTTGCGCATGCTCAGTAGAGCATTAATGTGCGCCGATGGTGTGTCCCGATCTTCGGCGCCAGCGGCCCAGTCTCGCGAATGACTCCCCGACAAGCCTGCGTGCAAACATTGGCTTTTGGCCCAGAGAACGGCTTCCTGTCGCAAGCAGTAGACTGCATAGGATGAGCTGCCAGACACGTCTGCGAATTCTCTCGTTCGATCTCACCTTCGGTTCATGGTCTGTTTGACAAACTGTGCAGTCAGATCCCGAACGCCTTAGCGAAGAACACGCTCACTTACCCGCCCCCTCCGTTTCGAAGTCAGAGTGTGAAATTGTAGTCATGCAATCATGCGATCGCAGGCTTGCACAAGAGCGGCCAAACCATGGACCTGGTGTCGGTACCTGCTGCATCAGGGAGTGCAACTGACTCTTCGATTTACCGTATATGCAACGACGGTCGGAGCGATGACCGATGATGCCAGTGGCGGTGAAGCAAACATGAGACTGTTTGTTGTCTTCGTTTCCCGTGGTTCCACATTGCGGCAAGAGTGCGCGATTTGTGCATTAGCAAGAGAGTGTCTAGAGTACATAAGAAGGTTCATGACGATAGTCCGTCTATCAGCCGTCTGGATACCCAGAAACAGGTTGCGCCGCAGATGAGGCCAGGGGACGCCGCATGGGGATTCAGAGCGCCGCGCGAGAGATGGGTCGCAGGGGTACTCGTAAGTGGCCGTAACTCAATCCCTACGCTTGTCGGAGATGTTCCCCGTCTTGGCGTTGAACTCGGTGGCGAGGCGGTCGTACTCCTTCGCATTTTGTTCCGCCTGCTTCTTCACGATATCTGTGTGGCGCAGCACGTGAGTAAGGCGGCGTGTCTGAGATAGCGGGGTGAACCGACCGTAATCAGCTGCCTTCTTCTCAGCGGCCGCGAGCTTAGCCTTGAGTTCCTGAATCTGCTGGGTTTGGTCGCCACCGGTAGACTTGCCACTCTGATTGAAGATGGGTGAGTGGGATGAACATGCGTGTAGGCAACCGTAACGGTAGTTACCGTGCTCTGCTTCAACTTGGCATACTCCTCTTGAGTATGGATTAAATCGAGGAGGATGTAGAAAGTCCGCGTGAGGATAAGAGAGAGGAACAGGCAAAAGCCCGTGAGGTAGACATTCCGTTGCGCGCTACAGAAAGCGTTAGCTGCCTGCAGCTCAATCAACACAGTCGTATGCCGCATACTAGAACTTGCGCGCAGCGATGTTCGTCTCCGCGCGGACATCCGCCGTGCCTTGTTGCGACTTTGTGAGATCGGCCTCGGCAGTTATCCTCCACATCCTCTGTAGCGCATCCACAAACAGAATTGTGATGAATCTGGACAACGTAGGTGTGAGCTAGCGGGTCATACGGTTGAAACACTCGGGACGCACATGAATGCTATTTTCACACCATAGGCGAGCTTGGCAACAAGAGGACTCTCCGAGAGAAAGTGGAAGAGCCTCTTGCGAACTACATAGGGAAGAGGAGAGACTAGGAGGACAAAGGTGGCCATCTCGGACACGAGGAGGAGGAAGGTGAGGGTATAGCTGGTGTTCAATTTCGACAAAGAGCGACGTCATTTAGCTCGACCGCACCTCACACCAACGAACACAGCACGTACTACACAGTCATGTTGGATTGAGGCCCAGAGAACGAGGCAAATCAAGTGCTATCAAGACGGGAGGAGGTGGTCGTCTGAGAGGAAAAGGGTGTCGTATATGAAGGGGCGTGTGGGCGACGCGTGCACCACAGCGCCGCAGTCGGAGACGCGTACCAGACACGTCGCCCGTCATCGGCCTCGACGTCATCGCCTCGGCCCCGCCTCATCTGCCCTCGCCGGACCGGGCCCGGGTTCCCTGCTCGATCGGGCAAACCCCGGCCTGAGCCGCCGAGGAGATTTATCATCGAGATCTGCTCCTCGCGCATACGCGTACGTACGCGTAAGTCCAAGAGCCACAAGAGCCTCTTGTGTTTGCACCTTCTCACCTACACCTATACAACGACCTAAGTCCCATCATGGCTCCCATTTCTGTAAAAATCAAGCACGCTGGGAAGGTCCACGATGTGCAGCTCGATCCCGACCAGCCTGCCACCCTGTTCAAGGATGCGGTCTACCAATTAACGGGTGTGCCACCAGACCGCATGAAGGTCATGATCAAGGGTGGAATTCTCAAGGTGCGTTCACCACCTATCCTCCGTTGTTCTATTACCGAAAGCCTCTCTGTGTACTCGCGTATAGGACGACACCGATTGGCGCAAAGTGGCTCCGAAGGCCGTCAGTGTCGAGTTCTGACTGCCTCTTGTAGCTGCCAGACTAAAACATCGTGAAATGCACAGGGTCAGACATTTATGGTGATCGGTGCTGCAGGGGAGCTCCCAAAGCCCCCATCAACTCCAATCCAGTTCATGGAAGGTGCGTGTTCTCTGTTAAAAGTCATGAGGCTGTGGGAAACCAATACAAGACGATGCAGACATGGACGATACCTCCTTGGCACAAGCAGTGAGTTATTCGGCAAATACATGTTGCATTTTTCTCACTTTGGTTCCTTCAGCTGGCCTTACCCGTCGGACTCGTCAATCTGGGCAACACATGTTATATGAATGCGACACTCCAGGCCATGCGTGCCATTCCGGAGTTGCAAGCAGCTCTCCAACAGTGCGTATCCATCATCTCTACCCGACTTCTACAAACCTGCTCACGTTGTCCCACCATAGTTCTGCACCTACGGGCCTGCCCTTTGCGCTCCGCAATCTCTACTCGAACATGGCAAAGACCACCGACAGCGTCACACCGACCGCCTTCCTCGCCGCGCTCCGCCAAGCGTTTCCTCAGTTTGCGGAGCAGTCGCGAGCAACGGGTCTCAAGTTGCTGCAGGGCGGCGTATACGCTCAGCAAGGTTTGCTCTTCCATTCTCACGTACACAAGAGCTCTGACAATTGCTTAACATATGCCATAGATGCGGAAGAATGCTGGGTGCAGCTGACTAACTCGCTGAAGGACGTACAGGGCCTTCCCGGACCGTCTTCGGAGTCTGCAACGGGCAAGTTCGTAGAGCAGTACATGACTGGAGAGCTCCGACGGACGTAAGTCGTCCGTCGAGTCTAACCCACGGTGGTTTCTTAACATCTTGCCCAGACTAAAGCTAAAGGAATCCGAAGCTTCGGATGAGCCTGAGTCGGTTTCCTACGAGAAGGTGCTCAAGATCTCGTGCAACATCTCTAATGCCGTCAATTACATGCAGCAAGGCATCATGGAGGTACGTCCGTCCCAGGATGTCTACTTAACTCTATCTCCACACAAATGCAGGCCCTCGACGGCGAGATCGAGAAACAATCTCCCTCCCTCGGCCGGGAAGCGGTGTACACCTCGACGCAGCGCCTCTCGCGCCTCCCTACCTACCTCACCGTCCACATGGTACGCTTCGCATGGAAGCGCGACATCGGAAAGAAGGCGAAGATCATGGTACGCGCCGCCTTCGCTCCCTTCCGTCCCGCTCTGCCGCTCATCTCGGAACACGGATGCATTAGCGGAGAGTGAAGTTCCCGACCGAGTACGACGCGCTCGAGATCGCGACGCCCGAGCTCGCGGAGAAGCTGCTGCCCGCGAGCAGGAAGCTGAAGGTGTTCGAGAAGGAGCGCAGCGAGCGCCGCAAGGTCCGCAAGCGCACCAAGGTCGCGGTGCCCGCCAAGGATAAGGAGGGCGACGTCCAGATGGGCGACGCCGCAGCCTCTGCGGCTTCCTCTTCCGCGTCTGCTTCTGAGCCTGCTGCTGCTGCTGCTGCTCCCGCGGAAGGTAGCGCGGAGGGTGACAAGGGGAAGGCGGTCGCGGGCATTGAGCTTGAGGACGAGAGCGTGTACCGCGAGAAGGAGGGCAAGGAGCTGGAGGCGCTCATCCATCCGGACCTGAAGACGGACGTGGGGGCGAGCGTGACCGGGCAGTATGAGCTCGTTGGTAAGTGTCCTTCGTTCCTCTCATTTTAGATCAGAATCGCCGCTCTGGTGTGCCGTATCATCTTGTTTGATTGTCTGCTTGCGATCAGCTGGTGGTCGCTTAATCTTGATAGGCTGTCCCCTTGCTCTGCCGCCAGTTCGTTTTGCTGACCAGCTCATCTGTTTGCGCACGCAGCGATCGTGACGCACAAAGGCGCGGAGGCCGACGCCGGGCACTACATCGGGTTCGTCAAGAAGCGCGCACTGCACAGCAACCTCGGGACGACCCCGGCAGGACCTCAGCTCGACGAGGACGACGAAGACTGGTACAAGTTCGACGACGACAAGGTATCGATCTTCCCCGCTGAGAAGCTCGAGACGCTCTCCGGTGGCGGGCAGGACGCGTCGGCGTACGTGCTGCTCTACAAGGCCCGGCCTTTGGTATAGATGCCCTTGCGACAGAGTGAAGGGGCTAGAGTGGGCTCCTGGGGTCACGGGCCATGTTTGAGAAGGACGGGCGGGACGCCTCTCGATTTGAACTGATGACCTTGGATGGGTGAAACAGGATCGAGACCGGACTCGGCGGGTTGTACTGTATGTTGTTATGATCTTGCTGATGGAGATGGTGTACGTGCGTCAGCGTGCCGTGTCTGTTGCGAAGCGAATTCAGTTTGAAACCGAAGTTGCACGCCGGCGATTCGCCCACGACAATGTCGAAGTTGTTTGCTCAGGTGAGTTGTGCGATCATGTCTGAGTAGCAAGGGTGAGCTGACGTCGGCTTTCTCGTGTCCAAGTGTTCTGCTTGGCATGTCTTGCCGTACCGAGGATTCCTTTCGAGCGTCGAGTATCTGCCCGAACACCAACGCTGCATGGTCTGCCGCGACCTGTGCATTGCGTATGCCGTCGTCAAGCGCCACAACACTCTTGTTCTCCGATTGCTCCGGATACGGAGATGATCGGATGCGTGAGAAGTCAGGTGAATTTGATGCGCCCTTTGATGTGCTACTCATTGCGTCCCAAGCGAAGCCGTTGAACAGTCGTGCCATTGCCACTACTTTCACTTCTTCAAAGGCTATAGCAAAGTGAGAAGCAGTGCAAGATAGTCAATAGCAATCCATATGGAACACTTTCATGATGGGTGAGTGCACACTCAGAACGGTGTATCTCTGCGCGCGCAGGTCTCATGGGCGTTCGCCATCTACAATGCAATTCTGATCGGTCGTCGATGGTCGGCCGGTCGAGCGGACGACGCCCAATGCACCCTGATGTGAGATGGTACTGACCATGACGGTCACAACGGCGGTTCGGACGGCGCGTAGTGGGGTTTTGGATGGCAAATTCCTGCACCTCCGGTTGTTTCTCTCCAATAAGGATCCTGTTGCAGTGTCCGACGCAGGCCTGACGCACCGCCAGGGATGATGCCCGCTGTTGGAGGAGCGTGATGCCCATCATGGGCTAGCCTCACGGCCTCGCGCGCGGCCCGATGCTCTCAATTCTCGTCACTCTCGAACTGGCATGGCTCAATTACGGGCGGTGTATTTTCGTCGTGGTCATCGAGGAGTATATAACGATGGAGGGGCAGCAGCAAGGAGGTTCCTCACCCCGCTAGCGGTTTTTCGTTTTCCCCTTCCTCCTACTCCTTTTTTCTCCTCTCTCACGACTTTTCGTACTACTTCTCTATCCCTCTGGTCAGGGTTCTTTGTTCGATAACTCTTTGAAGATGTTCACTCCGTCGTTCTCTCGTCTTTTCACTCTTTGCTCGGCGCTGGCGTCCGTGGCTGTCGTTAGCGCTGCTCCCCACCAGCGCCGCGCGCAGGTCCCGACTGGTCCCAAGTTCGTCGTCTACACCGACTCCTTAGTCGGGCCTAGCGTCCTGCCGCCCCTCGAGCAGATCAAGGGCTTCAACGTCATGTGAGCCAGTCTCTATCCTTCTGTAACCACGTATTCACGCAGGCCCTGCAGTAACCTGTCTTTCCTGCTCTCTGACGGCCCCCACGACCAAGTCGCCGCCTGGGCCAACCTGGACGCAGGCACCCGCCAGCAGCTTCACCAGCAATACAACCAGGCCGGTGTCTCGCTCGTCGTGTCCGTTTTCGGCGAGACCGAGCTGCCGGTGACAAAAGGCCTCGACCCCACGCAGCTCGCAGGCCAGATGGCGCAGTTCGTCCTCAGCCACGACGTCGACGGTATCGACGTCGACTGGGAGGAGACAACGCTCGTCACCGACCCGACGAAGAGCGGCGTCGGTGAGGCGTGGCTTGCGACGTTCACCCAGACCCTCCGCCAGACCCTCCCGCAGGGCCAGTTCATCCTCTCGCACGCGCCGCTGGGCCCTTGGTTCCAGCCTGGCTTCTGCCCTGGCGGGTGCTACCTCACTGTCGACAAGACTGTGGGCAGCCTGATCGACTGGTACAACATCCAGTTCTACAACGGTGAGTTTGCGCGCAGCTCGTCTGGGAGAGATCTGTGCTGACGAGTGGATCGTGACGTAGATGACCCCAGCCCGGGCTACAACGACTGCAACTCGCTCATCACCTCCGCGGGTGGCTCTGCGCTCTTGGAGATCCCCAAGAACGGCCCCTCGCTGAACAAGCTCGTGATCGGCAAGCCGGGTACCGCCGCGGACGTCACCAACGGTGGGTTCATCGACCCTGCGACGCTTGCTACGTGCGTCCAGCAGGCCGTGCAGGCGGGCTGGAATGCCGGTGTCATGGCCTTCCAGGTACGCTGATGTTCAGACTGATCCTTGCTGGGCACGAACGCTAACATGGCGGCGCGAACAGTTCCCCCACGCCGACACCACCTGGATCACCACCGTCAAGGGCAGCTCCTTCCAGTGAGCGCTGCGCCGAGCAATTACGACGAGAGAACTCGATATTACGACACCCCCGCATTGAACGTCTTCATCACCACCAACAAATAGTAGTACGGATGCTCATGATGACGAGACACGAACATCACCATGTAACGAGTAGGGAAGTGTCCCGAGCAACGATGATAACTTCTAGCGGGTGTCCCCGAGAACTTCTCTGGTGTGATGTAGGCTAGCCGTTTGCTTCAGCGATGTCCAGATGTCGCAAGGTCAAGGTAATGTGTGGCTGCACTTCATTCAGTTGCGGTTTGTGAAGGCAGAGCCGCAGAGATTGGCTGACGCGGTGGCGACCGGGTATATCGGCCCGGCGATGACCGTGAAGAACAGGTTTAGACGCCTATATTTTGCTGTGACCGAAGTCCGGACCGAGGATGTGCTCAGTATGCTCTTGCTCTCTAGTGCACCGTAGTAAGTCACGTCACCTTGCTAGAATGGCTAAGCTCTGCAGCTGTCCTCAACGATCCACCTTGGAGCACCTCGCAAGTACTGAAGCTATATGCGATGGGATACCCACGAAGACACCGACCTTCAGTGGCATCTCGTCTGCGCCCAATGGATCATTCCTGGGTGAATCATCGCCGTAGTAGCACCATTATAGGGAATATCTCACCACCGCCATGATGACGAGCAACTCATGCTTCTTTTGGGCGGTGTCACCGAATGCACAGACGTTTGGGACTGCGAGGAAGCAACCGCACATAGCATGTATGGATTGCCCATCGTCCAAACAGTCGATCACTTGTTCGCCGAAGCGACAGCGCTAGCGTACAGATGACCGCGGCCGATCTCGACTGTACTCGGCTGACCTATTTGCTCTCTTCCCGGCCGAGCCAAACAAGCAGGTGTATCATAGAAGTTCGTTACCGAACACTGCCAGCCTCCGACCTCCGACTCGCGGCGTATATGAACCCTTGCGTGCGTGCTTCATCTCTTTCCTCAGAACCCCATATTCTCTTCCTACTCAGCAGGGCTATTGCCGCCGAGTTCGTGATCCCGAACTGTTAAGCGATCTGGTCGCTTGTGGGGGCCATCAAGGAGGAAAAAACAGGGCGTACGAACATGAAAGCGGAGACGATGCTTAACTCCTCCCAGCCCGGTGGACCGCGCACCCCCTTCAAGAGCGAGGGCATGAGCGGCGAGGAGGTCGCGCAGAGCACGGAAAAGGCGGCGAAGGCGTCGAAGGCGCTAGCTGGGGTGCGCCCAATCGGGCGCGAGGACGAGCTGACGGATGCTTTCCAAGATGCATCCGTTCCCTACTGAAGATGCATCCTTCTACTGTTGGGATGCATCTGTGTGCAGTTGGGATGCATTCGTGTACCGTGGTTCGGATGCATCCGTCGGGCGGTAGAGCACCGTTACGGATGCATGGGAACTACTGAATATCTGCGGCACGTCCCTCTTCGCCTAATGCATGGTCAGCCACTGATGACTGTCGCGCATATATTGTTGCTTCAGTACCCTGAGGCAATTCCGCCCCGGAGACCCAAGCTTCTTACTGGTTGGCTGAATCTCCACCACGTACTCTCCGCGTATATCCTTTGTCCGATCTCTGCTCGACGCTCCACGGTCACAGTACGCTATATGCGCAAAGAGGTCGGCTGCCCCGTCGATGATAAGCCCACCTAGTGGCTGTCGACGTTCGTGGCGCGTCCCACTCGGGCTTCTCCTCGTCCTGCCGCAAAATACCGTAGTTGCAGTGGATAAAGGGAAGCCAACGCCTGTCCGGTGAAGTCACCTGTCAGGGACGGGTGACTCGGATCGCGCGGAGTGGGGCGTGGCGCATCGCAAGGCTGAGCGTTGAACTGGTCAGTCCCTACGCATTGCAGCATACGTCTGAAGAAGTTCGAGGGCAAGCGGGCACAAATGGGATTCGCGTTTGGCCGGTGCAAACGCGTGCCGTACATAGTACATACAATAGACCTTATATACACAGTAGAATAGGGGTAGATAAGGGCGCGGGTATCCGTCGGGGGGCGGGACCTGTGGCGCTCGTTCCGCGAGCTCGCCATCTTGACGCCAGGATTCCAACAACGTCTTGGCTGGGCTTCTGACCCAATATTCTTGGAAAGCGCGCCGCGGGATCTGCCATTGAGACTGATTGAACTGTTCGGTGCGTCTTCACGTCCCCTCGTGCTCGCTGACGCTTGTGGACATCTCGAGTAGGCACAGTCAGCTTGCAGAAAGGTACGTGCCGAGATAGATTTGAGCAGTACACGACATGTTCATTGTGGATTTTGTTCATACCGTGTAATAGACTAGTGTCTCGCATCCCATTCGTCCCATGAACCTACGACCCGCCATATTGAATGTCAGATCCCAAACGTATACATCAATGGAGTACAAATACTTATAAACAGAAGGGCGCGAACGCTCTCCGCTTTCCGCAACGACGGCGCTTGTGTCCATAGTTCAGGACCAAAGGAAGAAGACCAGGCGTTTGCAGCGTCAAGACCTCCGCTATGGTCCTGGCCCCACTACCGACTGCGGTGGGTGAGGTCGCACAACCAACGACACGACATGGGCCGAGAACCCCTTGAACAATCCAAGAGAGGAATCCTGCCTACAATTCGCATGTTTTTGCAAGCCCTACTCCTCTCGGCCCTACATTTCAGTAGTATCCTTCCGGATTGCATCACGTACGAGACAATGCTTATCCTAATCGAGAGCGCCACGACGGGGAGGCTCAACTCCTCTCCCCTGCGTCTCAAGAGTATATGATGTCTGCTCCTCTTCAGTCCACGTTCGGGCCCATAACTATGGAGGCTTCACACCAGATTATGTACTGTACGTGAGCTGTGCTCTGAGTGCCTCAATTCAGCCGTTGCGTTCACTCGACATGAGCTGTGATATATGATAATCGAAGGTAATCGCCGCCGGATCAGATCGTTCGCAGCCTGAGCTGCCAAATGCGGACACCGGTCATCCCTCAAACTGTCTTCCGCACTGGCGGTTTGTACCTCTCCCGTCATCTCATCCACATCTACATCTACAAGGGTTCAGCTGGCGATGCCAAGTCTAGGCCGAAGCACGGCTTCTCCTAATATGTCAGTCACCATACCCTCGTCTTTGGCAAGACTCAACGTTCGTCGCGACCAGCGTCATCGAACGATATATTTGAAAGGTGCTCCATGCAATGCAGAAGGCCGCGGCGCTAGACGAAGATGCTTCTCTGCAACGAGGAATCATAGTTCTATGCGATGCCGCAGTTCATCCAGGCCTTTGACCCCGAATTGCGTACTTGCGACACTATCGTTGTGTGAGGAATACTCCGCAGCCCTACGGATCCGTGATATGTATCAATGTCCTCCTTGTAGTCAACTTCAACGGCGACCGGCGGTTTATGTGCTGCGTGAGTCCTCGATCAACTAGGGTGGAGCTCGCGCATCACCCAAGTCAGGCGAGAGACGTCTCTGAGTAGGGCTCGAGCTGCTTGGCAAGTTTCGTTCATTATACATATGCTCGTCTGGTCTTAGCTAACAGCACACCTTCAGTATCGCAAGGACCCATTTGAATGCAATAGGGGTGGCCAGAGTGCTCCAAGTTGAGGTGATTATGCCTGCGATTCTGCGCCGATTTTGAACCTCCGAATCGAGTCGACATCATGGCTTACTCTGACCGCCCCATATCAGAGGAGGAGTCCGGGGAAGATTTGGGGAAGGCAGAATCGCGGACAGGGTAATCGCATCTCCAGGGGCAGCTCCTCCAGATGAGCTTCTGCGATTCTGCGTGATATGTCCCTGTAACGAATCGGATGCTAACATAGCCTCCAGAATGGCCCTCCGGAATTGTCCCGTAATCGTGCACTGTGACCACTCCTAAAGTTTCGTCGACCTTGCATATGAGCTCCGGATATATTAGCTCTCGAGCTACGCGCCGCCGAAGCAATCACTACCTTACGAGGCGCTCATATCCCATAACTCGAGATCAGACGGTGAAGTAGAATGGCCCGCAGTCCGCATGGCGACGTTTGACCATCTGGTGAATTGAGGGCCGTGAAGAGCTTCGAAGTTGGTGGGTTCTTACTCCGTCCAAATTGAGCATGCACTGACCTGTACTTGGTGACAGGTTCTTGTTCGTCATATCATCACCTTGGCAGATGTGTGGTCGTATCGTAAGTATCACTGCTCGTTCTGGTGAAGAAGCGTTGCTGCATACAAGGTACGCCTTGGCATCGTGCGGCGCTCTCTTGTCCAACATCCCGAGCGTAGCAATCCGGCATGCAACCGAACCCTCAGCCGCCCATCTCAACCCAAGTGCCCCATTTCATCTCGACGCTCCGGCTATAAAGGCCACCTCTACCTTCATGGTATGGATTCCCTCAGCGGGATACCTCTACGACGCGCCCCCTCGCTCATCGCATACCCCACATCCATTCACGCCCTCATACTGCTCTCCGGTAGAGTCACCTTTCGACACACATTCATTCACGCCTTTGTACTGCTCTCAGGTAGAGTCACCTTTCCACACACGCACGCACGCACGCACGCACGCACGCACGCACATCATCATCATTATGTTTGTCAACGCCGCCTTCGCCCTCTCTCTCTTGAGTGCCACCTACGCCCTCACCATCGGCAGGCGCGATAATCAGCCCTCCGACGCTGACCTTCTCGCCTCGTGCCCTGGTGGTCCGGGATCCAGTGTAGTAGAAAAAGCCGATAGGTGTACCTTGGTGAGCAGGCCGTTGTGTATACCGCTCCTAATAGGTGTCTAACTCACATGGTGCTTTCTACGCTCTACTCCCTCAGATCAATATTGCCAACAACCCTTACATCCGCGTGTGGAGTGTCCTCGGCGACCCGCAGCTGAACTGCGGCGGCGGCACCGAGGACATCGTCGTCACCCTCGGTGGCTCGACCACCGTAGAACAGACGACGGAGGTCAACGCCGACCTTGGCGTGGACCTTGACGGTATCTCCATCGGCGGCGGCGTGTCCACTTCGTCTTCATCGTCCTCAACGGAGTCCCAGACCATCCAATACAACATCCCGCCAGGACAGCAGGCTGTCTATGTTGCTGGGATCGAGCACACGTCCCAAACCGGCAACATCCAGGTCAACTACGGCGACCGCCAATTCGGCCACTTCATCGTGAGTGACCGCTCTGCCTCGGATTTGTCTCGGTCTTGGGCTGTCTGCTCATTATGCATGCCATCGCACAGTGGTTCACGGGCGCAACTGTCACGCAGTTGACGCCTAACTCCAACGACGTCGAGTACACCGTCCTCCAGACGGCTTGCGGCACGGACCCGCGCGACGTCAGCAGTCTCCCTCAGTGAAAGCTCCTACTCCTTTCATGGCCTCCCCTATAACCTATACGCGATCTTGTCAGGATAGGGCTTACGTACCAAGCGCGTATAGCCATCTGTTCCGCCACATACCTTCAGTACAATACTGTAATCAGTATGGCATTGATCGCCGAGCTAGAGTTATAGAACTACATCTAAACAGGTATCGTACTGGGTCTGAGCTTTGCATGTGCTTGAACGCTGGTGGGTCGTGCGAGAGTTCATATGGATGAGGTTCGCGAAGAAGTCAACATAACCTCCATTAGACCCTAGCAAACATCAGGAAAATCCCGTTCGGGTAGAGATGGTAAGTCATCTGCCGTTAGAACACTAATGGCCGCAGCTAGTAATAGTTGGCATATATTCGTGCTGGGCAGACTCGTAGAACACTGGACAATCATTCTACCGATACAAGAAGTGATCCTAACGAGCTCCTCACGAGGGCTATGTTGAGTCTGTCCACGATCGCTTGCTTCTACGATTGCTCAGGAGCGCTGCTTACGGAACAACTAACACGGCTGACTTCGTCCTGAGAGTCTTCACTATCCTGTCGCATTCACCCGAGCCGTCTTTGGCGTCGGTGAACGAGAGGCGATCATACGAAAGAAGCAAACACGGTATTCTTTCGAGCCTCCGACCCGAATATCAGCGCGACGATTGTGCCGATCGATCATCACCAGCCTCCGCGGCATCCCCTAGCGTATATAAACCACCCTCCGCGCCCATCCACTCTTTCCTCAGAACCCCCATGTTCACTTCCCTCTCTCCTCTCTAGGTGCGCTGGTCACCCACATCGGTGCACTTCGATGTCGGGTCACTGGTCGTACGCTTGGACGTGAGGGCTGATTGTTCTGGGATGCTTCTCCAACGCTTGTCCGCTCTGTTTCTCATGAAGAGCACGGGCATCACGGGTACCTCCGTACGACGATGTATGTCATCACGTCCCTTTTTTTCTGTTCCTCGCGCTCAGCTATTTCCCCTCAGCCATCATCGGAGGTACTCCCCATGTACGGCACTTCCCCTAAACACGTACGTGCTATCACTTACCTTGGGTCTGCCCACCTGACAACGCCACATCCACAGTATGCCTGGTGCATACAAGGTGTCAGCCGCCCCGTCGATAGTAAGCCCACCTGGCGGCGGTCGACGTTCGCGTCGTGTTCTACTCAGGCTCGTTCCCCTTCCCTGCCGCGAAACACCATGCTAGGGAAGAGGTGGAAGAGTCAACGCCTCTCTGGTAAAGTCACCTGTCAGGGACGGGTGACTCGGATTGTGCGGAGTAGGGCATGGCGCATTGCAAGGCTGAGCTTTCAACTGGTCAGTCTCTGTGTATCGCAGCATGCGTCTTGGCTGGAACGCTGACTGAAGGTTCTTGGGCAGCGCGCACCGGGATCTGCCAATGCAGCTGAATGAACTGTCTGGTGCGCCTTCACATCACCTCATGCTCGCTGACACTTGTAGATATCTCGAGTAGGCCACCCGCCAGTGCGGAATATGAGGTGAGCGTGAACGGATGCTTCTGACCCGCACACGTTACAGCCATTGTCGCTCGTACCATATAGTGTTATGCAAGAGATGTCTTAGGTGTAAGCATCGCGTGGGTTCACGAGACCTGCATACTTGAATGTCCAACGTCAGAGGCGTCCATCGCTACTGAAGTACAAATACCTACAAACAGAAGTGTAAGCGCTTTCGGTAAGAACGGCGCTTGGGACCTCTGATTGCGATTATCCGATAATGGCAGATGCGCAGTGTTCCACCGTCTCTTTTTTTTTCCTCAAGCATGTATATCCCGCGTAGATAGTACAGGTGCGGCAGTATATAGAGTCATGTATCACTGGATGCCAGCGTCGTTTCCCACCTAAGGGAGTGTTCCACCGTCTCTACTGCATACCAATCCAGCAATCCCTTCATTACTCATTGAACCCTCTGTAGTAGACACGACACAGTTGAGGAACGCATGCGCACCCGACCACTATGGGGCTGTTGTTAGGTTCGCTATATCGGGATGGCGCTCCAGTGCCATCGGGTGAAGACATTGGTCATGCCAGTGTTGGCGTCCAGCAGCTTGGTGTCTCCGTCGACATTCGGAATTTGAGAGATTCTGTTGGTGAATATACTCGCATTATATGTGGAGATCTCGCTGACACGACAGACTAGCAGCCGTGGTCTCTGTTCTGAAACTTGCCTCCCTTTATGGCGCCCTGCTTTGGATGGCGACGTATAGCTCAGGTAGGTGCCAGAGCAGACTGATGGCAACGGCTATTGTCTGCGCATCGCATACAGCGTTGTCTGTGCAAGATACATACATTCCCATCCGCAGTCATCGCGCGAGATCTGGTACATATTCAGTTTGGTACGGCCACTATCGTCCTGATTTGCTCACGTGCTACTTGAACAGCTCGCCGCAGAGAATGTGAAGGGAACAGTGTGTCCACGCGCCGAATCATCTGAGGAAAGGATTAAGCCAAGTTGAACATATGAAACTCATGTGGCGCCTCAACGCTTCAGGCTCGCCTCCCGTCCATGATCGGGATCATTCCCGGGTTGTGACCATGGCTACACCTCTTGTATGACCTTCTAGTACCGCGTAGACCATGGAAATAAGCGTTTCCTGGGCGGGGTTCTGTAATGCACAAACGCATGTACTGGGCAGGTATGTCCAGCGGACCAGATCATGCACGGCAGACCTTCACTGTGATGGTCATCGTCAGGAGCGATCGCAGCACGTCGAATCGAAGAACTGGAGATCTACACCACAAGATGGCTGACCTCTTGTTCTCTTCCAGGCCGAACCGAGTACGAGGGCCTCGATATTTGCCGCCGATCACCGCCAGCCTAAATCCTTGTTGCCCATATAAATCGTTCTCCTCACCACCGGTTTCTCTCCTCAGAACTCCCCTGTTCACATTCGCCTCTCCGCAGCCTTCAGGTGCGCCGGCGGTCCACATCAGTTCCCTGTGATGTTGGGTCGCTAGTTGTACGCTTCGCTGGGAGAGACCGAATGTTGAGCTGGGATATCTCTCACCCCATATACCCCGCCGCGAACTTGGCAGGCCCGACGGGGCCTTACGGGCGTATCATCGTGACTGTGCGTTGTCCTCTTACCTTGAGATCTTGCATCGTGCTCACGGTCCTCGCCCAGTCTCAGTCTGAGGCGCCCACCCTTAGCGTTCCCTGGTATGTCTTCTCGCCTTCATGCCAAGTCAATCACTCATGCCTGTGGCGCGTAGATGGCTGCCTCAGGTCTTGTACGCGAGTTTCTCACTGGAATCTCCATGGCTGATTTACCAACCGCGTGGAGGGCGTGTTTCGGCACCAGTACACACTAGATAAATTTCTTGATCCTTATAGTTATAGTAAAACGCGAATTATTTGGCCCAAATGTTATAGTGGCCCTTCCAAATATTTGAGACGGTTGGAGGGATGCCCCTCCCAGATATTCGAGGTGAACCCCAAATATTTGGGATGTATGTATGAGCGAGGGGAGGAGGGTACCCCCCCTCCCAAATATTTGCCAAATATTTAGTCTCAGCGCTACATAGCGCTATGTACACCACCAAATATTTGCAAGATATTTGAGTATTCCCCCCCCTGCGTCCTGAGGCATGGGATGCGGCACACGTCCACACATCCCAATATTCTTCAAATATTCAGTTGGCAGATATTTGGCCGCTAACAAATATCTGAGATGCGGCTTTTACCAGCGACAAATATGTGCGCCCCTGCGAATATTTGCACAAATTTCTCGTACCGATGCACCCAAATATATTTGTCTCATCCGCAAATATTTGAGAAGTCCAAGCCAACATGTAGGGACACTACGCCTTCTTGGGCTTCCTTCCGCGTCCCGACCTCTTACCGCCGCGCCGGGAAGTACCACCCATGGCCTCGTGGTTGCCTGTCCCCTGGGTCTCCGTCCCTCCAATCTCTGTCCCATGGGTCTCCATGGCCTGGGTAGCACCACTCCCACCGCTCAACGCCCCGCTACGACACAAGCTACAGATTAGTATAGTTCATCCACCACGTATAGCACAGCACTTACTCTGCGACGCTTTTCCTCTTCTTGGGTAGAGGGACACTCCCCACATCCACCGTCGCCGTGGCATCAGTGTCCGGGTTGCCTTGAGAGCGCCCCCGCAGTACTCTCGTCGATGGTGCAACGTTAGCCTTGGGACGGCCCCTCTTCTTCTGCCCAGGAGCCTGTGCCCCATCTCCCCCCCGTTCGTCTGTCATCTCCTCACCGCCCTTTCCCACTTCGACCTGAGCGCTCTCTGCAGGTGGATGCTCTTGCAGTGGAGGCTCGCCCACGCCTACGTTGAGGACAGGCTGCGACACTTCGCCCATGTGCACGTCAAGGTCAGGTTGCGACACCTCCCCTGATCGCTCATCGGGAAAAGTTTCGAAATCACTGGATGCTGGCATAAACGTCTCGCGATCCACGACCGACCGCAACGTGCAAGGGGTTGACGTCACACTTGCGGGCAACTCCTCCTGCGACCTGTATCCAGCGTCCTCCTCGCGGATGGGGAACAAGGGCGGAAGGACACTGGCAGGTTTCACCTGCACGTTGGGGGAATCCCTCCCTCCCACCTTGCTCCTAGCAGGCGATCTAAGCACCTCCCACGTGCGCCAGCTTCTGGGAGTGTACGATACGTGGGGTTCGCCATGGGAGGCATGCTCCAACGTCGCGGGAGTGGAGCCCGCCCGTGCGTACGCTGGGTGTGTGGGAGCTGGCTCTGGGGGAACAGACAACGTGCGGTGTGGAGTCACAGTTGCTGGCGGGACTATGCTGGGGGGGAACTGCGCCCCAGGGGCGTGCCGCGGATCCAAATTCCGCGGGGCGTTTGAACCAGGCTCTGCGTGCTGCGCTTCTTGGATAGAAGGTGTGTTCTGTTCTGGAGCATCCGCCTCTGGCACAGAGGCGCTACCGGCGACCGACGTCTCATAATTGTGGGGTAGAGAGGTGTCGTTATGCGCCCGCATGCCCGTTTGGGATCCAGGGCCATCATGCAACTCTTGCCCTGGGGTATCTACCACGTTATCCAACTCGCTCGGCCCGGGCAGTTCGGAACTTGGCATTGATGGGAGCGGAACTTGCCCCTCGGTGTCGTCGACCTTCTTGAACCCAAAGCGAGGGCCAGTTTCCTGGGCTTTTCATAGTCGATGGTATATCTGCACCAGATCGGCAGGTTCCAATTGGAAAGGGTCGGACTTGAACATGTCTACCCAATCCCCGTCCACAAAGGACGTCGGGGAGCGAATCACATCCTCCATTGTGAAAGCCTCCGGCTCATTCCCGCTTTCAGCTACATATGTTGTTACGTCCAGCCCAACTTGGGTGGACCAGGGGACGCCACTCACCCCACACTTCCTTGAAGTAGGCGCGTAACGCGCGCTTCATCCAGAGGACATCCTCACTTCCCGTCCACTTGCGCAAACGCACAGCGCCCTCCTTGTCGTAATCCACCTCCCGTTCACGGGCCTTCGGATTGACGCCTTCCATGTCTGCTGAGCACAAGGACATGTCCTAAGGACGTGTTTGCTTACCTACAACTGTGGATACCCATTTCATCCACTGCTCATCCTCTTCCGGTGAAGCACCGCCGTCGAAGTGGGCGAACATAATCGCTTTCTCATCCTCGGTCAACGAGAAACTGAATTGCGTCCTGTCAATGGGAGGGACATCTCCTCACCAGATGGACTCACTTACTCTTCATAGATGAGCTGCCCATCAGGGGCCCTGTAAGCCAAGCGCACCGCGAAGCACGCCTTGCCTATTTTGGAGGGCCCTATGCTGATTAGGTCAGTCAGCAAGCTAACAAGCAGCTTTGTGACGCTGAGCTGATTGCTGCAATCCGGGATTAGCGTACACTCAACCAGCAGATGGGCAGCCCAACGCACATGTAACATTGCTCATCATCAGGCATGCTCAGCTCCTCCGCTTTTTTTACCCACTCGGACCGCTCCGCCTCCTCCAGCTCGTTGTGCCAAATGTACGACGCGCACCTCGACCATCCCCCTATCTTATTCCTGCCCATAGCTTCGATGCGCTCCTGCACGCGGGCGTTGTTCTCGCTACCCCACAGTCGCATGGGGGACACCTTCCGCGCCCGCAAAGCCTTCGCCAAAGGGTTATCGACAATCTTCCCCACGACCGCGCGTGCGGTATCATTGCTTCCCGTGTTCCTGCTAGGGCTCGCCGTAGCTCCATCTTCAGCCTTCTGTGGGCAGTCGTTCCCATTCAACGCCTTGGATACATCCTGGGCTGCCGCGTTCCTATTGTTGTTCAACCAGGCTCCGACGGCCTAGTGGTCATCGTCAACACGGCGCGCGAGACAGATGAGGCACACCAGACTCACAACTCTGAGCTTGTCGGTGCCAAATTGTTGAATCATGCTCTCAGGGAAGTCGCGCTCCATCATCTCCGGTATGGTCTTGCTCATCCATGCCCTTTTGCCAGCGTAATCGCCACTTCTGAGGAGGGCTTGATATGCTGGAAGCACCGCAATCAGAGCCCGGAGGGCGGAGGGCCACTTCTTCCACACCACAGATCCCTTGGCAGGAGGGACGTCGCTCTTGTTGGACACTGTGGGTGCTGTAGGTGGAGGTTGTTCAGACGAGGATGAGGAGGATGCGGAACTCATAGGAGCAAGCATGGCAGATTGGTGCGGGACGACGTGCCACGACAGGGCGGTGGAGGAAAGCAGGAGGCGACGCCCCCCCCCCTTCCCCGCTTTGGGATGCGCCTCCTTGCGACGCGTGATCGCTATCCCCAGT